TGTGGTGGTTATTTATTTAGTGAAGAGGAGAGTCTATTATGAATGAGGTATAAAGATTCTTGTACTTCTCTTTTCCAACTCATGCTAACCATGCAAAAAGAACATTATTTTGAGAATTTTATGGCCACAAATTAGGAATGTATTCTTCAATTGAGATCCAATCTTGTTGTGACCTGCTCTATGTGCATCAGTTTGGCTTTGAATTTTATTTTGCTTGCCTCTTTCTCTACAGGACTACTTCAACTTCTACTGTAGTTGCCACTTCCACACCGAAATTACCATCAGAAATTACAGGAAAGTCTGTAGAAGAGGTAACATATGTGCTAAATATTGGGTAGTATCTTTTTCTCTCTTTCCCCTTGATAATCAATTCTAGGGGTGATATAATGCACTTACCTTTGATTTCACATGTATTGAACTATGGACTTCCTTGAATATGCTGAAGTTTCACTAACTTTTGTGGCCGAGTAATGTTTTAGCAAAAATTAATAATATGAACATACTGCACGAGGGGGGGGGGGGGATAGATGATAGAGACATTAATTTCAATATTTATTGGTCAGTTATCCAGTCTTTCTTAGTGAATATTTCACCCATTCCCGTTTCTTTTTGAGGAATTCACATTGTTCCTGTTTGTTACATATGTAACTTACTGCGATTCCTTCTTTCAATGAAAGATCATCAAGGAATGGAACGCTGAGCTGCAGGAACGTACTGCAAAATTTAGAAAGCAGGCTAATGCGATTGCTGAGTGGGACAGAAGGATCTTGCAGAACCGTGATATTCTTCTCAAACTTGAGGTAACTTAAGATTTATTTAGAGTCAACATTCTTCTTTGGAAAATACCCAATATTTAATTCAAGCTCTCTGCAAATCCATTTCTATTCTGTAGCTGCTGCATGCAGTAAGCTCCATGTCATTTTTGTCTTCAATTATCTTATGCAATAGCTAGGTAGGCGTTTCCTGCTAAGAGGTCGAGTTTCCAAGATTAATAATAGAGCACTATATTCATTCTAATTGATCTTTGCTGCTAAGTCCTGGTCAAAAGAGTTACTTGTAGCCATGTTCTTTAGTTGCGTTTTTCCTAACATACTTGTATAGGTTGTACCTTCAGTTATTTCTCCTGGGAAGTTTGACATATGTAATTACATTGTTATCTCAGAGTGAAGTTGCAAAGGTTGTTGAGACACAAGGCAGCTTAGAGCGACAGCTGGAGCTAATTGAGACTCATCAGGAAGAGGTCACTTAATTACCATGATCTTTCCTGCAATTTGAGTCTTTTTTCCCGATTGAATGTGTATTTGTCATGTAATTTTTAAAAGATTCTATGCTTATGCCATCCGTGCAATTTTAACCAAAAGATTGTTGGCTCGGCTGCCTCCGGTCCGGTAGGTCGGTCGCCCTCTAGCCAGTGACTAGCCCAGCTATGGAGCTAGGTGTACACCGCCACGTCGAGACTCTCTTTCGAAAGTGAGATACCGGCTTTCATAAGAGGGAAAGATCACTCCGTCATGCAGCAGAGCAGTGTTCATCTAACTAGAAATTTCATAAGAGAAGAAGAAGTTAAATAGTATTTCGGAGCCATACTTTTAAAAATGCTAATCTGGTTGATGTTTCTGGAGTGGATCTACTGATATTCTTTGATACCCAACTTTTGCATACTTTCTTGTGCCAATGTACCATTGGAGGAAGCTGTTATTAGTCAGTATCCAGATCTATGCTGTCCCAGTTCCATTAAGGTCGCTACTTGTATCTTATCCATTCTGTTCTGCCTAGTTCTATTCCATTGCGGTGCTAATTACTTTTCCTTTAAGACAAACTAGTGTTTCTCTAAATTTTATACTATCTTGAGCGTTTAACTAGCTTAATCACAATTAGTTGGTATTGTTTCAAGTTCATAGTTTAGATCTTCTGGATGTTCCTAACCTATCATCCATGGTTGAGGATAGAATGAGGACACACACATCAATTTTGCCTTGTATAATTGATGAATATGGAGTTACTTTGCGTGAATCTTTGTTACCTATTTAGGCCAGTGTTTCACAGTCGCTACTTGCTTGTTTTGTTTCTTGTAACTCCTGGTTTGTGATTTCCAGGAGTTACAAGAAACATCCAGAAGTTCATTCTCATTTTTCTCACCCTCTGTTAGGTTGACAAGGCATTGCAAAGCATGGAAGAAGAAGCTGAGCGAATTTACAAAGATGAGAGAGGAGTGATTCTTGATGATGAAGCTGCAGCAACAAGGGATGCAATGTATGTGCATTTTTGGATAATCTTTTTTGCATCTGGGTTCTTTAAAGCCATGCATAATGATGGCCTTTTAAATTCATATCCAGCTTGTTGGTATTGCCAACTGCAAAAATCTCATACTGTTTCTTTTATTGGAGTGGGGCATTAAATGACCTAAAACAAGTCTTAAAAAGTGCATTATGTTACCTTCTTTTGGTTTCATTTGCCAGTTTAGAAGGTTAGGGCGTCAGGCCGTAATAGATAGCTTAAAAGAGAATATAATTAGTAACTATATATCCATTTTCTTCTTATTCATACTTCATAGTCTGAACTCTGACATAAAGTATCAACTTGCACTTGGATCTTTAAATAGTTCTCTATTTTGATCTGTCCTGTAAATGGAAGCAGGATAGTCCATTACCCTCTTGCAGTCAAGAAATAAACTTTATTTTTTAATCCTAGATTCGTTCTGCCCTTTTTTCATCTATATCCTCCACTTGGCCATATTTTAATGCATCCAGTTCTGCGGAACTGGTGTGATTTCAGGTATGAACAGGCCGAGTTTGTGGAGAGGGAAATGGAGAAAATGACAGAGCAGATCAAGTCAATCATTAATACTTTTAATGCCTGCCAGGTTTTGTACCTTCATTTATTTCTGCTCCTGCATTATGATTAGATGGTATTAAAAATATATGTTTTTTATTAATTCTTTCTTTACTGGTTTATTTCATTTAGGGTGGAGAACTTGAGGCAACTGATGGAATGACACCGCTTGATGTTGTTGTACGAATCTTGAACAATCAATTGAGTTCACTGATGTGGATTGATGAAAAGGTGAGTATTGTCTTCTTGTGTTTCTTGTGGCTTTTGTTTCTTAGTCTATTGCATTAAATGAAATCAGAAGGAAAAGAAAGTAAGTTGGACTAGTAACAATGTCATTGGACTGGTGAGAGATGCGTAAGGAAAGAAAAAGAAGGGAAGTCTTTAGTTTTTAGATTCATTCTTCCAGATAATCTTATGTGACAAAAATGGTGTTGTTCTGTATGAGTCTAAGAATTTCTATTTCTGGGAAATGCATATTGTCCAAGGAGACATTGCTATTCCTAATAAAGTTTTCACTCTCTTTTGGTACAAATGGTTATCTCCATATAGAAAGGAAAATATTCTATTTTGGTAAATGCATATTGTTCAAGAGACATTGCTATTCCTGATAATGTTTTCTCTCTCTCTTGGAATAGATGGTTATCTCCACTATAGAAGGGAAAAGATTAAGAGAGAGAAAATTAGTTCATAAAGAAATTTACTGTATGTGGATTACTAGCACCTGTTTCAGAATTCAGCTGGAATCATACTTGTCTTCCCTTTTGGATTTCTTTTTGGATCATTTTGTTGGAATGGCATACTCGTTTTTTATCTTGAGGTAGGGTTTGATATACTCTTAGAAGCAATTACATCAGAGAATCATTGATCTTGCAGGGTTAGAAATATTACTCCACTAAGTTTCTAACTGTTTGATTCATATACTCGTTTTAAATTCGTAAGCTCACAAAAAAAATCTATAGCCGGACTAGGTTTGGGAGTAATTCTTTAAAGATAAGCAGAGTCAAGTTTTGGTTACAGTTTGAATACAGTATTGCCAAAATACGTTATTGCCAAAAACAACCTAAAAAAACAGATATAGGAAGGGGGATCACCACCTGGAACTATCACTCTGATGAATTATAATTGCCAATGTGAAATCCTTTTCTTGTGGGGCCTGTGGGTGTAGTCTCCTGCACCTACTACCTTGTTTAGGGCGAAAAGTCTATTATGCCTCTTCCTCCCTACTCCCAAAAATTCTTATGCCCCTAGATTGTACTAGTAAACTAACAAAATTCTTATTAATTCATCATAGTACATACATTACCCTGTCTTAGCGAATGCTTTAGGATCTACTATTACTGATACTGATCAATACGTAGCCTACTTTACCATCCCAGATCTGTTTTCTACTGTTCATTTTGTGAATAGATTTAATTTTGTTGAAGGCTTCATCTAGATGCAATTTAAGACTCGAACCCTCACCTTTATGAACTGAATGATATAAGATCTGAGACTGTTCTAAACGTACTCTTGGTTTACTTTGGATGCTTTCTTTCCTTAAATATGAAATGTTAATGATACCATTTCTACATTTGTTCAGACTGAAGAATTCTCATCTCGTATTCAGAAGCTTGCAAGTGAAGGGCCTGCTGCCAATCGTGAATCAACTGCCCCTAAATTATGGTTGACTCGATGATTGTTGTATTGGTGCTGTCAACAGGTTCATGTCAAAGTATAAACCCAAGGGCTTCTGAATCTTTTGTGGATTCTCCTTCCTGCTGTGTATGCTATTAGGTTTAAAGACAGAGATGTTAAATCTTGATTCATTTCAAAGGCTTTACATCTTATTGGTGATTGAAATGCTGAGATCTTTCTTTTTTCTTTCCAAAATGGTGCTTAAACTCACGTGCCTAATCTTTGATTATATTACTGTCAAGACAAAATGATGTTTACATAAGAAGTACAAAAATTAGCAGACTAAAAGGTTGAACAGAGTCTTTTGTTTGCTGATGCATGTTAGTTATGGTGTTTCCTACTTTTGTTTGCTATGAGAGTATGAGCAGCCCAGACTGAATTGATTACCCCTCCCTGCATTGGTACCATACAATTTGGTGTGGATAGAGTGGTCGAATATGATTTTTATCACAAAAAAAGGCGTAATGCTTCAAAGGCGGATGAATCGAGAGAGGTAAGCAACTACACAAGTCAACAACATCTGAAAACTATTCACAAAAAGCTTTGTTTTTTTTTTCTGATGTCAAGTATGTAGCAAATGGATCGTCATCAAGCTCCTTGGGTTCTTGTGACGACCACAATCAACAACAAAACAACTGATAAAAGGAAAGAGGATCTAATCTTCTCTTCCATGAGGTCAGAGAGTTCTGATGTGGGTTTTTCTTTATTGTCTGGTTCAAATATATCATGGATTATTTCACTTAATAATGATCCAAATGATTGGAGCAGCTCCGCGATTCTGGAAGTTGTGATGCCCATAATCCATTTCACTATGAGGGATCCGATATCCCCAGTTGAGCTTTGTGATTCTTCTACTTTAGCTGCATTCATTGCTCTAGGGATTAACATCAAAATTGAAATACGAAAAAGTACCAGCCAACGAGGGAGGAGTTATTAATAATATAAACCTGCAGATATGACTGAGCCTTGAAGATTTTGAACTGCCTTGTTGCTCATCATGGCTTCCCAAACAGCTCTATCACAAGCTATGGAACAAACCAATCTCTACATGCAAATAAAAGAGACATGTATGTCTATGCAACTGACAAATGAAATGAAGCATGTACGTTCAATGTTCTTATTTAAAGTAGTCATAACTCAGTAAAATTTTCATTGGAGATCACTAAAAGCTGAGCATCATACAAAGTAAGAGGAGTTCAAGCTGACAACAACAACTAGTCAAAATACACACCTGAATTGATGGTTCATTTTGAAGCATATAAAGAGCATCATAAAATCTTGCATTTCCAGGTGATTTCACCAGCATCGGTTCAGCCCAATTCATCTCTTCTTTTGGAGCATAATTGAAACTGCAGTAAACAGTATACTCAACAGAGCTTCAGACATCTACTTTACAGTATAATATACACCATGGAATAATACTGATGGATAAGAAATAGTCCCAACATTACTAATACACTGATCGCTACATCCAACTGTTATCTTTCTTATAAAGTCAATGATTTTACCTTTGGAGATCAGACATGGCCTTCTCAACCTCCCACCTAGAAGGAACAGAACCAAAAACAGTCTCATAATAAGGAGACCCTTTTTCAACAAACTCATCAAAAGATCCACTATCAAGAATCTTAGAGTTTGAACCATATTCAATACACCTATTCTTATTCCAAGATTCTCCAAAGGGTGTTTCACAAATTGATGACAAAGAAGGGGGAGGGTGGATATTGGAGTCCCTGTGGGTGGGTAGGGGTAGGGTAGTGAAACAATTGTTGGAGTTTGTACTTGTAAAGAGTGGCAACATGGCTCCTCCTCCCATTTTCCCCCTCTATAGTCTCTACTTTTAAGTCAACCTCTGAGAGTGCAGGTATCTACACAATTTTCTTGATAAACCAGAAAAAATTAGGTTATGGATAAGATATTTTGAGCAATCGTAATCAAAGTTGAGATAGAATAATATCAAATTGAATGAAATATTCGTATAAAATGAAAATTTTGTTATAATATCAATTTATATGTCTATATATGCGATATGAATTTTATTTCAGACTTTAATTTTATAATATTAAAAGTAACAACCAATCAAGTAAATTTAAGTGTGAGAATTAATATTAGTTACTAACAAATTAAAGTTACAGCAATTTAGAAAGTAGTTAGTACGGCAGTTGAGCGGGTACTAAACAATTTGACCCGTTTCAAGAAACCGACCCGTTTAAATTTTTCATAAATTATTTTAAGAAAAAAGCCTCTGAAACATTTCTTCCACGCCGGAGCAAATTTCCACAGGGTTTAACCAAAAACCCTAAACCCCCCATGGCTCGATCAGCTAGATCCTCTACGACGCGCCTATTCTACTCCCTATGTTCCTCAACCAAAAGGACGCCGTTGACTCCTCAACACCCACCGCCAACCCCAGTCGCCGCCTTATTGGCCGGAAACTTCCAGCTGCGCCACTACGCCGCCAGTAGTGCCACCGCTAGAGTGAGAGAGGAGAAAGATGCGGTATGGAGGGAGTCGCTAGAAAAAGTACGGAATATTGGGATTTCAGCTCATATTGACTCCGGTAAGACTACACTGACAGAGAGGGTATTGTTTTATACTGGCCGGATCCATGAGATCCATGAAGTTAGGGGTAAAGATGGAGTTGGTGCAAAGATGGATTCCATGGATTTAGAAAGAGAAAAAGGGATTACTATACAGTCTGCTGCTACTTACTGCACTTGGAAGGACTACCAGGTATTTAAAAAATGTTCTTTCGATTTAGTATATATTATTTTACTCTCAGCAGTTTTTGTTTTTCAAAATTATTGTTTTTTTGTTTGAATGGAGTGGAAGTAGCTAATTTGGCATTGAACACTGTCGATTGCTAATCTTAATCATTTTCGCTGCTAGGTTTTAAATTATTTATGTGCTAGTAACAAATTGATTAGAACTAGGAAATGGTTTGATTTATTGAAATTGAATTGTTTAAGGGGAAATGGTTTGATTTATTGAAATTGAATTGTTAAAGGCTTGTGGCACACTGTTCGGAACTCGTGGATAATGGCCCAACCCTTCTACCCTTCTCCACTTAAATTACATGATTTTGTATGTGGCAAGGTTCGAACCTGTGCTATGAGCCATATCCATACCAAGTGCTGTGCTCATACCACTTGACGAAAGCACGAGGGCAAATACATTAGGGTTGTTCCCACTGTCATTTAGAGCAATGAGATTGGTCAATGAATTTTTCTCTCTCTTGCTGGTTGGTGTTTCTGCCTGCAGAATATAAGGAGGTAAATGAAGAAAATGCGAGGAAAATTGATTTCCTCTCATTATGTTGTCGGTGTTAGATACTAGATAGAAAGTAACATGAAAAATATGCATATAGTGTTTTGAGGGTTCTGTTGGAGAAAGATTTATCATGTCTATTTCCTTTCTATTGTTCCCAACTATCAGATATTGAATTTCCCTTCTCCTCATTTCAGTTAAAGGATTAACCTGGACTAAGTACATAATCAACTGAATCATAGTAGGTTTTCATTCGGTATTTGTGCTCTATATAAGATCATAGAGCAGCCATGGAATAAATGTTGTTTATATGGAAGTTTGGTTTTCCAGTTTCTGATTGATCTTTTAATATGTTGTGGAGAAAAAAACAAAAAAGATTTTTTTTCTGTACAAGTTATAACAAGGATTTGGGATGAGTGTTTTATCCCTCATCAGTTTCTTGATAAAGGAATAGCAACTTTTACTGACTAGACAAATCGATCAAAAATGATATAAATGAGATTGTCAGGATTGGTTCACTAGAGATTCTTGGTGGATGTTTATTTACTTAACTAAGCGAGATATGTGAAACATTGTTATAACTTCTGTTTTTTTTCCCAAGGTTTTTCTCTAGGTAAATTGACCATAATATTGCATGCAGATGTTTTCTCTTTTTTTGAGTCAAGCACATTGCAATAATTCTCAACCGTTTCGTCATTAGAAAAAAATTGTGGTAATTTTTCTGGTTTCAGTTCTTTATTTCTGCTTGTTGTTGTAGGTGAACATAATAGACACACCAGGTCATGTTGATTTCACAATTGAGGTGGAAAGAGCTTTGCGTGTCCTTGATGGAGCCATTCTTGTCCTTTGTAGTGTTGGTGGTGTGCAAAGTCAATCTATCACTGTTGATAGGCAAATGAGAAGATATGAAGTCCCAAGACTTGCTTTTATTAATAAACTTGATCGGATGGGGGCAGACCCTTGGAAAGTTCTTAACCAGGTCAGTTATGTATCATTGAAGGCCTATTAAACTTCTAAAAAGTTTAATTTAAAAACTTTCCCTTAAATAAATTAAATAATGTTGCCCTTTATTTGTTGATTTTGGTACCGGGCGACATTTTCTCTTGTTGCCTGGCCAAGCTCATTGTCATCATATGTGAAGGAACTAAAACAGAATAAACTTATTTGAGTTTCAAATCACTAGACCTCATGCTAGAAATCAGCATTTGTAGTTCTGCTGTTAACTGAAAGCATTTATGTCTGTCAACGTAGCAAACTGGATCAATTAGGTTGGTTTTTAGAAAATATCTTTGTTATAAACATCTGCTACTTGATTCACTGCATCCTCACTTACTTCTTGTGTGTGACATGTGTTTGCCTTAATTCTTTGGCAGGAAGCACTTATTATTTTTATCACTGATATTATTTGCTGCTTTCCTCTAGAACTTTGTATGTGAATTCTCAATAGCAGTTTAGCTGTTTGAAACTGTGAGTATAGTATGTTCAGTTGCTCTCTTTCCTTCCCGCACAGGCAAGAGCAAAGCTTCGGCATCACAGTGCTGCTGTGCAAGTTCCTATTGGGTTAGAAGATGACTTCAAGGGTCTTATTGATCTCGTGCAGTCAAAAGCTTACTATTTCCATGGTTCCAATGGGTCTGTGACTAGCTTAAAAATGTTTGGTTAGGTATGATAGGTAAATTTTCTCTACCAGGTTCATATTCATTTTTGGCTTTTGCAGTGAGAAGATTGTCGCAGAAGATATTCCTGCTGATATGGAAGCAATTGCTTCTGAGAAGCGGCGAGAGCTAATTGAAGCAGTCTCTGAGGTTGATGATAAGCTTGCCGAATCATTTCTGAATGATGAGCCTATATCATCTGCTGATCTTGAGGTCTGTACACATTAGTCAATCTTGTTTACAAGGAAATTACAACCTTGTTTGTTTCCATTTGCTACCTTTCAGAAGTATACATTATGTTTACGACACGTATTTCGTTTTCAAATAGTAGATTTTTGCATCTTGTGTACTTTGAGGATTCAACGACATATAAATACCCAATTTCAAATTTTGAGCCAAACTTGCAAGCTTTGTTAATCTTATCGGGAATGAAATAAAAAGTGATTGTTTCACGCTGCTTAGCATAGTCATTGTAGATCGTGGAAGTATAGCAGTTGAATGCTTTGTGGGTTCTCAATTGAAACAAGCACAATGAGGGAGGTTTGGTGATAGTTTGAAAGGGCATTTCATCTTCTTTTTGTGTAATATTCTTTCCTGTACCATTTATTTGTGTGAGCATAGGACTGGGAGCTGAGATTCTGTAGTGGTGGACAGGGTTATTTACCCAACTAGATTAATTGATTGTGATTGCACGACTTTACGCTTAGCCTTATCTTTTTACACGGACTATGTCAAAGTGCTTAACCTACATTAATGTCTACTGTTAATACAATAAATATTGCAGTACTTGATATTGGTAAAGTAATTTGCTGTTATGGATCCTTGACTACTGTCTTTATCTTGCTCATGGGACGTTCATTCTCCCATTACCCTGTTTGTTTAATTTTCTTTCTGTGTTCATCAGGCAGCCATAAGGAGAGCGACAATAGCACGGAAGTTTGTTCCTTTTTTTATGGGTAGTGCTTTCAAGAACAAGGTGCTATTTTTTCACTGATTAACTAAATACGGGATGCAAAATTTTGATCTTAAATTGATATTGGCTATATTTTGGGCTTTTGTTTTATGTGAAAAATATTTAAGTTGCATAAATTTACCGGAATGATTATTGTTATTTCCCACTGAATTCCAGAGGTGTAATTTTTCTTCTTAGGTCGACCTCGCCAAATTGAATATCAGAATAACTGGGCTTGTGTAAAACTTTGTCATCTTTCATGAAGGTTAATCATTTGAACCTGGATCAAATTTCTCATCAATTACAATGTGATCATTTTAGAGCTTAGAAAAATGCAAGTCGGAAGTATTCTGACAACTAGCTGTGACCATGATATATTCTTCTCAAGACTAATTCCTTAATGATTACAACTGTGAAGTAATTAGTACTTGATGTCCATCCTTCCCGTTTTCAGCTCAATTTTTTCAATGTACATTTTTCTGGCTAATTGTTTCTACTGGTGTAAATCTAGGTCCATGCCTGCTTGTTCTCATTCTTGCAGTTCTAACTTATTCCTGTTGTTGCTTGGCTATATTTTCTTTTCTGATACTTGATTTGGCACCATATGCCCAATTCATTCTTGATTTTCAAGTGACAACAAATGTATAATTCTTTTATATTTCAGTGGCTGCAGTTTTAATTTATGCTTTCTGTTATTTTGTGCTAAACAGGGAGTTCAAACACTTCTTGATGGCGTTCTCAGTTACTTGCCTTGTCCAGTTGAAGTTAGCAACTATGCTCTGGATCAAACAAAGGATGAAGAGAAGGTTAGTTGATAATATTTTTTGTTGAGTTCTTACCTTTCTTTTCTCCATGTACAGATGTAGAGTTTAAGCCTCGTGCTCATTTGTTGCTAGGTTACCTTAACCGGAAACCCTTCTGGCCCTTTGGTTGCCCTGGCATTTAAATTAGAGGAAGGCCGTTTTGGTCAATTGACCTATTTAAGGTATAAACTTATTTCTTGTGCAATTGTTTTCTCCGTATGTGCACTTAGCAAGGACCGCACATTTTAACATAATCTTCCATCAAAGAATCTATGAAGGTGTCATCCGGAAGGGCGATTTTATAATCAACGTGAACACGGGAAAGAAGAT